TTCTTCGGAGTCAACTTGAAGAACATGTCCTTGTTCGGGTCATAAACGGGCTCGACCACGACATGGTGGAAATCGCATGGGTAAGCCTTGGAGGACACTTCATGGGTGACATACTGCACGGTGTATTCGAGCTGCGTTGTGTCCCCATCCACGGCCAAGACGTGCCTTCCCTGCTGAAGCAGACTCCACACCACCTGCGCGTGCGGCTTGCCCAAGAACAGCACGGCATCCACCACACCACAAAAGAAAAGAAGCTGATTGCACAACTGATTCGGATTCCGCTCGCCGTCCTTGTACAGAGCCCCCCTCTGGGTCAGGTTTCTTATGTCCGCGAAAGTCAAAGACTTGAAAGACTTCTCCTCCACATCCGTGGGTGTCACTTTCTGTTTCCTCCGGAGAGCGGCGGCGTCGTCTTCAGCAACATCTCCCTCGTACACCGGGTGAGTCAGTAGCCAAGGATCCTCGCCTTTGAAAAGGATGTGCATCACATCCGGCTCCTCCGAGATGCTGTTTCCGAACTGATGTGTCTTCTTCGATGCCGTCTTCCGAACCCACTTCCCCATGTAGCATCGGGTCGCCCCAAGCGCAGACAAACATCTCATAAAGGAGAGTTTCCACAGGCAGGAGACGAATACCACCAATGTCCAGTAGTCCTGACAAACAAAGCCCAGCAAGTCACTCAAAGACGCGAATGCCCCAAAGTCCACAACACCGCACAAGTCGAGCACGCAAGTGTGGGAGCGTAGCTGATGCCCCAGTTTTCCCAGCGCCTGCTTATGATCTATGGCACTCAACGGGTCAACGTTAAACTGGGCCAGCATCGTCAAGGCGCTTGTCCTTGTCACCATAATGTTGATGCATTCATCAACGCCCCGAGGGCCTTTTTTGCCTTTGGCGTGATCTCCAGTGATCACCGAAAGGACGATACGCTTCCACCCCGCCCGGAAATGCTGGTCGTTGACGAGGGCCGCTGTTCTCTTGATGTTGTTGTCGTGTTGACACCTGAGAAACTGAGGGCACTTGTTGACATATGTGGTGTCCGTGAAAAATTTCCTGCTCTCGTTCCAAAGCTTGTCGTCGAGACCTCTGTCCTTGAACTCTTCGAACAGTTGCTTCTTCGACCTGAAGAACGTGGAGTTGGCATTCCACTCCCGCTTATCTATTTCCTCGTACTCGAACTCCAGGTAGTGCCACAGCCTCAGCATAATCCGGTCCATTTTTATTATGTCGACCATCTGCTTGACACTGAACTTCCCCTGCTCGGCCAACTTTTTGCTACTCGTTTGAACCCACACGACGTTAAGGTTCAAGACGCCGTTCAACAACCTTTTCTTCTCGCAGTCCGTGAAGTCCACCAATTCCTTCCAGCAGTGGGCATCCGGCTCAGAAACTTGGACGTAGAAAGTTTTCTCCTCTGCGCCTTTCTTTGGCTTCCCCCTGCCCTTTTTCAACGACGGGCGTCCACCTTCACTTACCAGACGTGTTTCTTCAACCCCTGGCTGTCAGTCACAGTGGAGAGTCCTGCCTTGGCCACCTCCTCATGGGTGGGCGGCTTTTCAGTCCAACGCCGGCCGAGCAAGGAGTTTCCCTTTCGACCACTCCTCATAGAACTTCACCCCCAAAGCGAAGACGGAGTCATCTGCCATGGCCAGCGGGAGGTAGTATCGAAGTTTCTCAGCCCATTCCTTTCTTTTTTTTGCTTCCGTTGACAGGTTCCAGATAGGCGTGTACGACATCTTCTTCATTGCCAACGCCATGAACTGCACCCACTTTCGCACCTCGTCCTGTTTCTTCGAGGCATTGTCAAGCACCACACGCGGTTTGCCCTTAATTTTCCAGATATTGCGAATGTCTCGCATAGATAAAACCTGCAAGCGCGGTGGATTCTTCTTGTCTTTCATGTAAGCTGACATGGGCGTAGCCGTCGAACTCGTCGTCAGGGAAGTAGATCGGTCTGAACGGCCATTTACAGAAGTTGTAGTAATCAAACACGGGATGGTCTTTCACCATCATCGCCGCCCTCGCGTTATGCTGTCCACACACAGGATAATACCAGTATCTCTCCGGGTGTGAGTTGTCGAAGTCAGCAAGCAGCACGCGCACAGCAGGCTCGCCGTTCTCTGGAGGCGCGACGATCGGAGCGAGAACGAAAATGGGCTTCGTGTATCTCATGTCTTTACGTTCGTAGCAGTCGATCATAGCCAACGCGATGGTATCAACGAGGAACTCGTCCAAGGATCGGTGGTTGTACGCGTCTTCCAAGTCAGGAATAACTAATATTCTTTCGGGATGGATGTGCAACATGACGTCCTTCTGCACCCATGTCTGCATCTCGAGGAAGAACGCCTTGTCGAGGTTAAAGGCATTGAGGTTAATGTCCACGTCGTCATCCCCCTCCCCGCTATCGCCCTCGTCTGCTTTCTTCCCCCTCGATGATTTCGCCCTTTTCCCGGAAGACTCACCGGTTCTTCGCTGTGTCGACGAGTCTCTTGGCGTTTCATCCCCACCTCCAACCCTTTTCCTCTTCTCAACGGAACCCCCCTCTCGTGTTGTTGGCGTCCGAGCACTCCCTCCTACCTTTCTCTGCCTTTTCAAAGCACCTAGTCCCTCTTGCTCTTCCTCATCCGGCAAGTTGCGCTTGCCTCCCGGCTGTATCTTTTCAGCCGATCTCTCACGGAACAGCCCCTACTCCGACACCTCCTCCTCACCGGCGACGTTCCCACTTGCTTCTCGTTCCTGGCTCAAGTCCGTCTGCAGTTCCCCCGGCGCTGGTCGGGCGTGGCGAGTCGTCTCATCTAACCCACGCACCTCTCGAACCTGCACACCACCCGCTCGATCTTCAGGCGAAACCTCGGCCACCTGCATGCCACAAACGAACGAACCGATCCTTTCGACCAGACAACGAGGAGTTGTCGATTCTGAGCCCTGTCGCAACCGTTCGCCATCGCCGCCTCCATGTGGCGTCGACTGCCCAAGCAAACCGTGGCGGCGAGATACATGCAAGCCCGGTTTCAAAGGAGCACGCGGATGGTCGTCCTCCGAGTCGTCTGACATGCCCACCTCTTGATCAGGAGGCGTAGCTGGCAGGCCACCCTGACCTCCCATCTCCCTTTCAGAGCACTCTCCTCCCGCGAACCCAACAGGACCAATGATCGATAATCCAGGTCTGACGTCCACAGCACTGATAGAGGTACCAGATTTCGCCCAGACCTCGAGGAAGTCTGTGACGTGAACGGCCTCGTCGTGCCCCGGCGCTAGCGGGAGAAAGTGAGG